GGTAGTAAATAAATTTTGTATATACGAGTATGTATATCTTAAGACGGTTTTTATTATGTAAATTAAGGCAAAATATCAACTATTAAAATATTAATATTTTTATACAGACATAAACTCACAAATAAAAAGACTTGCATATACGTATGTTTATAATATAATTATATTTATATTATATAACTACATATATAATGATTTCATATTATTTGCTACATTTTATATATGAATTTACTATCTGCTTTTCTTATGAGGCTATTGAAATTTTAATCACATTTGTAGTAGCAAAGTATATGTCGTCTACAGCGATTTTGCTGTTGTCTTCAAGTTATAGTTGCCAGTTGTATGTATGTTTATGCGAAAATTTGTGTGTTTCAATGGGTTTGCATAAAGGAATATTTAGTTAGTTTTTATTTRCAGTGTTATTATTGTGCATTGCTTTAGTTATTATTATTTATAATTTGGTTGCACTCACTCAATGCAAGCAAAYATTTAAATAATAGATTATTAAACAGCAAATCCGGCAAGCAAATCATACGGTTCAATTGCTCGGTTTTTGGTTCAAAGTATGTATATATGTGTGTTTATTTCTGCTTTAATGACTTTTTTCGCTTCATGAATTTGTATGGAGCGTCTTTATTGTTATTATTTGATTACTTTCACTCTACCTCAGTAAAGACTGATAATCTATTGAATATTCGCATTTATTTGCGTTCGTTAGTATATTAGTAGAAATTCGACTGAATGCAAGAGTTGTTATGTTGTTGTGGTTGTAGTTTTGCTTTGCTTTYATATTGTAGCCTTGACTTTTACACTTTTCACTTGCCTTGGCATTGACTGTTGTTGCTGGTTATTGTAATATGCATTGAATTTTCAGAACTTGCAGCATTTTTGTTGGTAACAGTGTAATCTGCAYAAATCCAACAAGCGTACGTTGCGGCAATACTGGGAATTGTTCTTGCATTGTTCAAAAGCTGTTAAAGAAAATAAGGTGATATTATTTTATTGAATAAGAAATAAATTTATGTTAACGAAATATACTTTGGATACACAAATATGAAGAGTTCTTACATTTTCATAACTAATTTATATAGGGTAGTCCAAAAAGTCTTCGCGTATTTTTTATCCAAATTCATCCTAATTTTTACATTTTACATTTATACTAATAAATAAATAAACAAATATGTACCATTTTAGTCGACCTTTTTTTAGCCATTTTTCCGCTAGAGACGTTATTCCATCGGACGTTAAATCGGAATTTCGAAATTTCCAGAAAGGAAGAGAGCCGTGCTTCACGAACTGATACAGCATTGYCTGCGTAAACTTCACAAGTTTCATTAGTGCCATGTGTGGCATTCTTAACTTTTTTAAATATTCAAAAATTTCAAAAAATAGCGAATTTCTTCATTATTTTCACTTACTTTTGAACAGCTGTAAGTTTTTTCAACTTTCGCAAATTTAATTTTTTGGTTAAATGAAGCTAAAAMGCTCACCTTTAAATTATTATATGACAAAATATGACTGGAGATATACGACTGCCATGACATCTATATAGATAAAATACGAAAATATTTGTTCAAAATAAAACCACAAAGCCTTAAAAAGCGGTTGAGAAATCATTGAAGGCAGGCCTTGTTCTGACTTTCGACACAAAAATCAATGTGATGCTCATGTTCTCTTTCGATGTTCGTGGTTTAATGCATCATGAGTTTGTTCGGGTGGGACAGACGGCAGTGTTGAAGTATTTTTTTTTTTTTTTTTTTTTTTTTTTTTTTTTTTTTTTTTTTTTTTTTTTTTTTTTTTTTTTTTTTTTTTTTTTTTTTTTTTGTTTTGAACAGAATTAACAATGAACAAAATAAGATACAATTTTTTCTTTATAATAAAATGTAAACCAAATACTCTACTCACTTTTTTCGGCGGACTCTTGCACACTTTCATAAGTGCTCTGCTCGGACGTGGCTGATGAAGGTAAGCATTGCCCGTTGCTCGGGGCGTGTGATATCAAACGCACTATAAAATGTGGTATTTAATTCCTTGGCGACCACATTGCGCATTACAATACAAGCGAGAGAAAAGGAGAAAAAAAAAGTGTGTAAATAAAATRCCAAAGGGAGTAAGAGATGAGAGAAAAAGCCATATAAAGGCTCACTCACCTTGGAACATGGCTCGACACGCCAACTAGTGGAACGCTGTGACGTACTACAGGCGTTCGTTGCCTCCGTGTCATTCGCAAAGCGTCATTTAACCTCCCGCTTTTTTATTTCCGTGTTGCGTCCGAAACAACGAGAACGCTGACACAAAGTCCACTCGCCAGCCTCCCAACGGGCACAGTCCTCCTGACCGCACATCTCGTACGTGCCTGGAAAGCTTAGTCCATAAGCCTCACAGTATGCATTGTGGACCGTTTCGATGTACGCTTCCACGTGTAACTCCAGCGCTTTTTATGTGTGGGTATGTAATGGCAAGTTATTGAGCGATGCTGTTACATGAAAAWGTTGGTTGAGGAAATTATTATAAAACTAAATATTTGTGTAAATAAAATATCCACATATGCAAATGTTTGCATACTCAGGCAAATATGAAAAAACACCTCATAAAAAAACTGTCCATTAGAGTTAAATTGAATACAAACAGTGTGTTGGTTACTCATACGCCAAGGCGCATGCTTTATGTACAGTTTTTTATTCGTGTATGCGGAATTAAAAAACATGCTGATAATGTGCATGAGCGGTGCAATTGTGGCAATTCAGTTGAACGTAACTAAATTGATGCACACTTCTCTCCATCAATTTTGAAAGTGTCRAGTTTTCGAAAAAAAAATTTGCACAACTGTACAATTTTCTAAAGATTCTTAGATCAGTYGATACTAATATTGTAAAAATTTGATTATTTTAGTAATTTTTATGAAATAAAATTTTCAACAGGTGGCAACCTTCTCACATAAAATTTTCACTCTGTTAAMTTTTGAATGTTATAAGCCTTGGTTTCGGTTTTAACTTATAATTTTAAGTAATTTWTTTTTTTTTACACAGCTGGCAACTCTTYTATAACTATTTTAAATGCTTAAGCCTTTCCGAACTTTTTATAATCATTTTGTCAACATTCGGATGCGTTATTAATTTTACTGAATTAAAATTTGACCAGGTGGCAACATTATTTCAAAAATATTGAAAGTAATAATATCACTCAAAACTTTACAGTTATTCTATAATGCTTATCACATTTAGATTCGACTCGGGATTTTGATTTTTTCTAGCTTTTTTACTCGGGTGGCAACTCTGCTGACAATATTTCCAACTCTCAAAGCTTCTTATACTTTTGGAATATCGCAAAAATTCTGTTTACATTTACATTATATTAAATTAAAATTTTGCAAGTGGCAACCTCCTTCCAATACTATAGTAATACAATATCTTTTGATGAGTTCCCTTAGTCTGTGAAGTTTTTTATCCTTCTAATTTGTTATTTTACTTCTTAAAACAGGCGGCTATCTATCGACCACCTGTTCATTACTATGTACAGTGTAAACAGCAGCGCTTAACTAAATTTATTAAAGTCGAAATTGTGCAACACCTACCCGTACACCTGCGTCGCCTGCATTTCCGCACTTCTCTGAATACTGCAACAGGTCGCCGATGCGCCATTCATACGTGACATGGTGACTCGTGGAAGTTATTGCTGTCTCCAGCTTGCCACCTGGCCTGCGGTGATTGTGGTGAGTTGGCCTTGTGTGTTGCGGCAACAGCATTCCCAACTGTTGGCAGCTTTCTTTTTGTACTTGTACTGACTCTTATATGGTCCGTTGCTTCCTGTTCGTGCCACTCAGTGTCGTCTTTGTTAACCTTCCTGCAGTTGCCATCATTCGTGTCTTCTAGAGTTCCAAGCAATAATGTGGCAAATGCATCAAACTCTACAAGGGTCCGCAAATCTGCAGTCTCGAATTGTGGTCGCATCAGCGAAATTTTCCAAAACGTTGCCTCATCGAACAGCATGTGATGTCCTCTCGAAACAAATTCTGTGGTGGCAAATGAGAGAGAAAAAAGCAAATCGTATTAGCAAGGTGAGCTGCTTAAAATGCACATGATACTTTTATTCTTTTTTTTTCGGTACTGGGTGGGAAGGCAAGCAGCCTGAGTCCAAACCAGCGGCAAATCGCCAGAAGCTAAATTGTGTACAGTTCACAGTCATACTTTAAAATGTGCATGTGGCATGCAACACTGTCTAAACGGCAAGAAACTTGGGTATTTTTGTAGAGTTTGAAATATGTATGTATTTGAGTATGTTTGTGTGGGTGTATGATTAATGCATGCAATTGCCTACAAGCACATAATAGCCGAACCCTCGCCAGCATTTTTACATCAACAAAATTGCTATATATGCATATATGAGCGTATATGCAAGCAAAGCTATAAAGAAGTTGTGTTCGCCCGCGTTGTAGGCGATTAGTTGACGCAGCAGCTGCATTGGCCCACTTTCTTTGCTTGCAATCACAATTTAGTGTTTTACTGGCCAGTATGTGGCTAGTTCGAAACCTCATCTAAATATATCTATATATACATATGTACATTTATACATTTATACATATGTTCATCCTTTGATTTAGGCTCTCTTTCTGTTACTAACCGCAAACACATTTTCACTGTACAATTGAACTGTACTGACCTCTCAATTAAGAACTCATCTCATGCATCACATCGTCCTTTCTAAACCAATTCTCGAAATTAGTCGCTTACAAAATGACCTCGAAAAGTCACTGGGCAAAAGTTTTGGGCACTGTCCAGCAATTTTGGCCAACCCTTTAAGTGTAAATACCTAGTAAGACAGCTGTATTAATATATAAATTTTTTARAGGTTTTTATAAGCTCAGTTTAAATCAGCTTTAATTTATAAATTTATATTTTTCTACTGTTACCATCATGCCTGTACAGTTCACAACGTAGAACATTTTTCAAAAAGTTGCGGTGTCGAATAGAACGTCTGGTTTCTTTCGATTTTTGGCTTACACTTTCTCGATATTTAGCTATCATAGACTGATTCCTCATTCAAGTTTATTTATTTAACTCACGTTGAACTCTAAAATACCAAGTGAATACATACTTACATACATRTGCATAAACATATACATTTACACATGCACGTTTAACTTATTTCATTTCTGTTTTATGTGTCGAGACATCACTATGACACAACCCGTTGCTGATTTCCCATGAGTACGAGGCGTAACGACCGGCTTAGCGAATACCGGAATTTACTGCAATATGAAAAGGGCCAAAGAAATTGCGAAAGCCAACTAAACCATGTAAATTGTGCCAACTCGAAGTTGTTGCCGCTGTATTGTGAAGCAATTATGCATTCATTGAGTTCGCGAGGGATAACAGGGAATTGGTATTGTTNTGCCGCTGTATTGTGAAGCAATTATGCATTCATTGAGTTCGCGAGGGATAACAGGGAATTGGTATTGTTTCCTGCAGATATCCGACTGTCGGAGTGCCACCACCACCCCACTAAATGAGTGCCTCAATAAGTGCGAGTTGTGTGAAACATTGGTAATATTGGCTCATATCGGAAGGCGCATATACAAATATGTAACATATTCACATGCATTATTAAATATTCAACATGGGAATAGAGTAGTATAAATTCATCATTGTTGATACAGTTGCTGCGGCTGCTGTGAAAATTAACTGCAATTAAAAATGAGCAATCACTTTGTAGTTTTTCTCTCACTGCTATGGGCCGACACTGAGATCCAAAAAAAGCTGGTAATACAATTTAGCTCTTYGAGCAGCGGCGGTCTAAAATTTGAAGCACTTATTTTTGATAACTTACGCGAGGGTGGTATATTTTTTAACCACAACCATTTATACCAAGTGACTCACAGGTTTAAATGTGTACCAAATAATATAGGGTATTAATGGCGCCTGCTCGAACTTCCCAAGCGACACCGCTTCGCTCTATGAACTCTTGAATAGTTCCAAGAAGATTCGACGTTTTCGAGGCAAATTTTGTTCAGCGATGAGTCCCATTTCAGGCTCAATGGTTKKGCAAACAAGCAAAATTGCCGCATTTGGGAAAAAGAGCAACSTGAAGAGATTCAARAGCTCATTTCATTTACAGATCTGCAGGTTGAATTATTTGCTCCAAGAGTAGGTTGAAGAAGTCGCACSAAARGGGGTCGCYTAGTCTGAAACCTCGTTTGGTACCAATCGACTCTGACAGGTCCCTCCCGAAATCTAACTCACAAATAGTCTTATCTGCATTCAAGGCATAAAATTCTCAAGTACACCAAAATCACCTTAAACTAGACAAATTTGAACGCGTAATATCTTTTAAACCGTTAGGCTTACAAAAAATCGTAAGAGATTTTTATACAACTGGAAGACTTTCCCGTTATAATTAAAAGCTTATACTTAGAGAGACTTTCATAGAGGCGCTTGGAAATTATTTTTTAGAGAATCAAGAGTACCTATGTTTTCGTATATYAATATCAGGCTAATATGCAAATGTAATATTTACACTCTTATGTATTATATTTCTGCGTGTTAAACACCAATTTAGTTAGTCTTCTACACAAGGCTTTTCTGAGACTTTTTTCAGAAGTGAAAACCTGAATTTTAGTTTTGAATTAAACACTTCTTACGAAAAAAGAAAAAAAAATGCGGAAATAATTGAGAAATATAAAAATGGTAGTTTTTATCGCATAGCAACAGAAAATAAGGAAATATTATAATGTAGATGTGAAATTTTCCGCATGAACGACGTTGCGTATGAGTAATATCAATTGAGATTGCCTACACTAGAGGCGACGGCTCAATCAATGCGCGCAAAAGTATTCACTCTTCCAGCCAATATGCTTAAAGTGTCTGAAAGTAAACGCAAATACTACAAACACAACTACAACAACACATTGAAGCTTTTTACATTGCTTTATGCCTTGTCATTCCACCAACTGTGCTTGGGTATGCCTCACTTTGACACAATGGCAGGTACTGAGCAAGCCAGCTAGCCACCGCGACAGCAAGCTAAGACAAAAAAAACAACAACACTATACCTGATGGTAGCAGTTATGGGCCAGCACTCACTTTGACTGCAGTTGCCAGCTTTATTGGTAGCACGCTTTCCCAACTAAATTGGTTAGTGACTGCTGCTGCACTTAACACTCATGCACATAGATCGCCAATGCTATCATGGCTATGCTTTTAGCAGTTAATAAAATAATTGAATTGACTTGCGGAATTGCACATATTCATATCGTGATGGCGCGACAACTTTGACGACAAAGGCAATGAAGTATGGAATTTAGAGGATGCAAAATAGTGTGAGGATTGAGTTGGCCATCGATATGTATACTAAAGCGGGTACATATATTTTTAAAAAAATTTTCGGAAAGCAATTAGTACAAAAATCATTAAGGCCTAAGAAAAGTGAAAGCACGTTTGGTTTCTGAATCACTCAACTTTTTCAAAAAACAGATGTGAAGCAATGCTTTCCGACTACCGAGATGTCATGAAACGTATTATTACTGGCGATGAGTCTTGGATCTCTGTTTACGACCACCCGGAAGTAAAGATCAGTTCGTGGCAAAAGTGAGCCAAGCCGAAAATCTCACGCTAAAAATCGAGGTTATGTTCGGTTGTGACCGCTCAAACTGTCAACAAACAACATTACTTTTTTTTTACTTTTATGAGTTGTTTGCGTCAAGTTATTCGTAATTTGAACCATGATGATCCGTGGCAACTATTTTGAGTCAATTGAAAACGTAATGGCTACTCCGGAAATTTACTTTTACAACGGTATCACAAGTGCACAAGTGTATTATTGCCAAGGCGAATTATTGTGATTTGGACCACATTGATTATGAAAAATAAATTATTTTAAAACTATGAAAAAAATCTTACCTTTCTTTTGCATATATAATRTGATGCTGTTACATGTGGAACAGTATTACACAAAAAAGCAAACAATCTCTTGAGGAATCTCGTTAATAATTGAACGATATTTTTCTGAAACCTACTGCAACACACTCTCCTTAAAAAAAGTAAAACTATTTCTAAGAATATGAAAATATAAAACGTTTCTGAGAATAATAATTTTGTTCCGGGAATTTTTTAAGTTTGAAAA